CTCCAGGAGCTGGGGGCTCCAAGCTACTGCCCTGTGCAGTCCCTGCACCTGCCAGGGGCTGGATGTGCCCTTCAAGGCACAACAGGCAACTGGTAAATGAAGGGCCTTACCACGTCCCCAGTTACACCATTTCCCTATGGGCTGCACTTTTACACCAGTCTTGATAAATATAACAGCATGATCTTGGCTACACACCACTGGGAGATGTCCCATTGGTGAGCGGACCCTGTGCTCAGACTTTTTCACCAGGACTATATAAAAAGGCACTCAGAATAGCTGTTCCTCACTGCCATGTCCCTTTCCAAGCTTTTCTTTGGTTACCACTCGAGATGCCCCAGGGAAAGAAGAGAAAGTGTCTGTAAGAAACACTTACTTGAAATAGAAGAAAATTGCCAAGGAAATCAACAGGGATGTTATAGACAAAGCATGGCCAACGATCGCCATATAATAAAGTATGAACGCCATCTGCAATTTAACAAAAAGAAAAGGCAAACATGAACAGTTTGTAGGCACTCAGCTTTTTATCTCATTGAGGAAGAATCTACAAAATCAGCCTCCTATTTTGTATTTCTTTTCTTTCAAAGTTTCTTTTTCAATATACTTTTAATATCAGCAATCTATTAAGTAGCATGACTCATGGTCTAAAGATGAGATAAGTGTTTCTTACATGAGTTGATCTGTTTCTGCTGCACTGAAGTAACTGGCGAAATGCCTGCTCACACTATGTGTCGCTAACTTTCCCGAGGTCTGGGAGAGCACAGCAGACATAACACATTCAGATTTTCAAAAGTCCATGACAAGTTTCCACACAAAAAAAATTATTAAAGAAAACAGGTTGCTGCAGGATCGGTAGAAAGCTTTTATGGTTTGAAAGCAGCTTAAACAACAGGGAGCAAAAGCTTAATGGTCATTTTTGGAGATGAGTCAGTGGTTAGGTGCCCTTGGGACTGGTATTGGGGCTGGTTTTTGTTCAACATACTCATCAGTGACCTGATGCAGAGGAATATCTAAGTTTTCAGCTGATACTTAGGTCTTCCAGATAACAGTGAGGGACTCCAGAAGGGCCTCACATAACTGAGGGGACTAGAAGATGCCATATGAGCTTTAATACAGAAAAAAGTGGGTTGATACACCTAGGGACAAACGATCTAAACCCTGCCTACACAATGTTGAACTCGGAACTGGAAACCAAACTCAGGAAGGAGATCTTGAAGTCACCCTGGCCAGCTCTCTGAATCATTGGCTTACTGTGTAATGACAGCCAAAAAGTCAACAAAATGTTGGATATCATCAGGAAAGGCACTGAGGGTAGAACATCATTACGCCTCTGTTTAGAATTTACATCGCACATCTTAAATGCATGTGTGTTTCTAGTCACCACACCTTATGGACACGGCAGAGCTAGGAAAGGTACAAAGAAGGCAACTGAAGTAACTGAGGTAGAGTAGCTGTGTTAAGACAAGTGGATACAAATGCTGAGATTCTCCCCTTTGGAGTAAGAGGGGGCTTATGATTAAGGCCTACAGAGTCATGAAAGCAACAGATGAGATGAAAATTATCCTCAACTCCTACCACACTAGAACAGCACACCCTGAGACAAATTCTGGTTCACATTGGTGTGAACCTTGCTATTGGGAAACTAGACGGTCCTACAGTGCTGTGAAGTCAGTATGCATGAACAGATAATCAGGCTTTTGCTTTGACTAATATCAGTGAAATCTAAGATAGGCCTATCCATATTTCATATGCCAACAGTGCATATTTCATATGCCAATCACAGGACAGCACCTGGGCTGCAGAATGCTGTGATATTTAAATGTCATTCTTTGGTCTCAGCCAAGCTCTTAAGCATCACCCAGCTGTCAGAAGGCTGCAGGAGGCTAAATGGCATGCCAGGCTTCACCATTGCCTTCTTTTCTGAAAGAACTAATATAGTATCAGCCTGTCCTGAAAAAAAGACTAGATAGTAGGCCTTAGTTCCCCTGCTGGGTTTATTTCTTTTCAGCTCCACTTCACTCATTTTTCTTTTGTTAGGCATGAGCATTTTTCCTTTTTGCAACAATTAGATTAATTGCTTTCTGTAGCCCTACGTTTTGCCACTCACTTTTTTTGGTGAAAACAAATTTGAAAACAAGTATGAATAAAATTCAGAAAACAAAGCCATTCCTCTTAGCAAAGGTGTACATCTTCTTATCTAGTTTGTTCTTCAGTCATTTTACAACTTTGGAATCAGCTCCTGCTTTCATTTAACCTAAGCGGTGGTAGCCTGATTCAGATATAAACCAAAGTCACATTTACACCATCCTGACCATGTAGAGGAGACATGATCTGAGTGTAAATATCCTTCACCAAGTTATTGAAATCTACGCATATTTACTGCAAATACCCTAGGTCTCCTAGTTTCCTTCACAAAGACTAACCACAACAATGCTAGTGAGCGCAAATGCTTGACAACTTGTTCTGAGAGCACCAGCAACCCCAGAGAGAGAAGACCAGACTGCAGAGAAGATGAGACAACTTTCTGAATACAGAGCAGTGGGAGAGGTTTTTACCTGTGTGCAAGTGACATTTCCTCCACTCTATACTAACTGGTTGCTATGGTTTTTCACCATATTAGATTGATATAATTTTTAAGCCTGAATTTCATTTACAGATGGACTGTTGAAAAATACGTGATTTTGCTGCCTATCCTGTATACAACCCTTAGCCTGAAACAGCTAAAAGTAGGAAAGGCTTCCAGATAGCTCCATGCAAGTCTACGTGCACCCCAGATGATGCTTGGTTATTCAAACTATCTACCTTTCAGCAGACAACTGCTAAATCAGTTTAACTGTATATCTGGGACTCGGCAATAGCATTTTTGATTACTCCATGTAAACTTACTATGGTAACTGCTCAAAAAAGCTTTCCAAATATAACAATGAAGACAGATCACAATGGACTGAACCATCAGCTAACAAAGCATATGGTCTACCACCGCATTTTTAAGAACTGGCTGCAGTAATTTTTTTTTTTTTTTAAGTGATCTGTCTGAGAAGTATAGCATGTTGGTATTCCAACAAACAAATACCATCAAACAAATAATGAACTATTTTATTAATTTCTGCACTCCTTGAACTGGCAACCTGTCGTGTCCTTTCTGACATATAGGACTACAAACACACTGACTCACCAGATTTTTAGCTTAGGCAGATTTTGTCATCCTGGGCTTGGAAAACTTCTAAAAGAAACACTTAAATGTTCTTTTTTGTCCCTCTAGGATTCTTCACTTGAGGAAAGAGAATTCCCTAATACGAACACCTCCTACTCAGTTAATTATGTTATCTGTAGGTACATGGAAATAGTCTACAAATGAAGCATACTCCTGTTTTTAAAGACTTGGATTAAAGGTCATAATCTAACTTGGCATTTCTGTAAATTCTTTCTGCATTTTCCATCATTTTTTCTTTCAGAAGAATCTCGATGTACGTATAATTTTCCTTTGTGTTCTAGCTGTACTTTGCTTGAATGATGTTCAAAATTGTTCTTCTGGAAGGCATGGATAATAGGTAACAGAACTACATTTTTTGCCTCCCTACATGGGCCAACATCTGGAAAAATTATATTTTTATGGTGCTTCCATTTAATGCCTCTGTGTGCTCAGATTGTTACTATTATTCTCTCTTTGTCACATAGGTGAGCCCCATTTTACCATGATGGCTCCTCATGCTGCAAAAACTTTTAGAATTCACCTCCTGCCTAGTCCAGTAGACTTTTCCAAGGCCCTTTAGGTTGGATCATTACTAAATATAACCACATACTTCTTTTTGGCTGCATAAAAAAAAAGATCCTCCAACACAAACTCCAAATCAAATCACTTTTGATTCTTTTCCTTCCACAATTCCAGATAGTTACAAATTATTCTGTCACAAATCTGTAATCAGATTTTCCTGGAGCTTCACTCACATTTGAGAAATATGTTTATTTTCATGAACTTCCCTAACTTACTTTTTTTTTAAGCTTTTCCCCGATTTCTCTCTCCTTGTTTCTTTTGGTGCTTTTATATTTAGTTCTCCTCTTTCAGCTTTGCAATTTGATTTTGGAAATATTAATGCAAATACTTAATTAATGATTGTAAATAGTCTCAATGACTTTAGTCAAACTGTTAAAGTTAAATGTGCTCAGGCTTGTAGGATTTTCTGGATTAATGGTAACTTCATAAATATTTCTTTTCAAAGGGAGTGAGTACAGGGTGATATTCTTTGCTTAAGAAAAATAATTTTAACTTACATTAATATTTCTAGCCCTGCAGAGAAGACAGCAACATCTTGGAAGATACTTGTCACAGAAAGCAAAACTGGAATTCTAAAGGATCATTTTATAACTGTTGGACAATCAGGGAAAATCATAGGAATTAAAAAATGCATTTGAAAAAACCTGCAAAATTTGTCACATGAATTGCTACTAGATTATCCACCCTGTAGCAAACCTATATTTAGGTTTGAGCACCCATCAAATAATGTTAATAAGCTAAAATCACGAGGACAATGCTATTAGATTCTTGTGCCACAAATAGAGCTGAAAGATGAGAACTATTCTGATCTCTTATATGTGTCTTACTGCTAGCCCAGCCCAAAACCATTCCCAAACAATCACTGCCTTTTTAACTGTAGCATACCTTCAATTTTTCAGAGGTGAAAGAGTTGCAAAGGGTATAGTTGGACCAAGTTCGGTTGCTCTCAGGATGGCGGAACCAGTTTCCAGTTTCATCACAGTATTTTGAAGCCCTCTCTGATGATAAATGACAATAGTTATTTTAGTAAATGCATATTACACATTTAAAAATCCATAAAAAAGAATTCCTGTATTTGGAAATAAAATGCCTGTGTAACAAAATCCAAAGGTTTTACAACTTGTGCACTTAATACACATTTGTCTGTTTTGTTTTTTTTCCTCAGAGATTTATCTGATGGTATACTTGTTGTTTACCTGTCTCCTTTTGTCGTGAATGAATGCAGTAGAGTATATATTCAGACGCAATTATTTATGCGATAATAATTCATTTAAAGGGGCTGTTGAAAGATGTTTATGGAAGAGAAAGTATCGTTAGGCCCTAGCGCTGAACCTGATGGAAGTGTGCACAGGGAGGCAAACACAGTGGCGTCTGCAGATCGTTAATTCTCGTCCCAGCCTGCAATACTGATGTTGGAAAATGGATGTGCCCACTGGCTAGCATGCAAATCTTATTTTTTGTTTTCAAACCTGACACTCGCTAGGACATTCTGGCATCCATATAACAACATGAGTGGATGGAATCTTGCAGCAGGGTTTCAGGTATCAAGGGAAACAATAGTTAAAAATACTGTGTAAAGAAAGGGCAGCAAGCAGTGTATAAACTAGAGCCTGGGTGCTGGAGATGGTGACAATCCCAACGTCAGCCATGTGCTTATGCAGAAAGGTGGAAGAGCCCTGCCCAGCCTCTGTGCCAGCTAAAGCCTGCTAGGGCTTTGCGGGAGCACTGCTCCTTTTCCTCTGAGGCTGCAAAGCATGCAGACACTGGGAGAGGCAGCCTCGCAAACGGTTTGGCACAGGTCCCAAGTGTCCAGTTTAATTTAAAATGGCTGCAGAGTTCTCTGTTTAAATAATCCGATGTGTGTTTGGCCTCTCCACATGTGTCTCTGGTGCCGGTTCCTGCGCCACAGATGGCTCTGGCATCCTTCCCGAAAACCCTGCCGTACGGATGGCTCTCCAGGTTCATGCTCCTTTGCACGTGTCCTTTTACTGTGGCAGGGGGACGGTCGGGGCTTCAGCACCGTACAGCTCTGAGGGATGCCTGGAGCTGCAGATGTGTGCTGTGCCTGTGTCCTCCCAGCCACGCTCACATTTCTGCCTGGGAAACCCTGGACGCTGACAGTCACTCCTAATCACCTGTCAAGTTTTGGACTAGTTCCTTTGGCCTTCCCTCAAGCATTAGCCACATGGGAGTCACTGGAAAGTTTGCCCAAGTAACGAAGGCAGGATAAGATCAGAAACTTAAATTATTTGATGTTTTCTTAGTTACACAGCTGTTTATTTATGAAAAACACAGTTTTTCAAGTCTGACTTTTAAAATAGTCTAAAAAGTCTCTCTTGACTTCCCTTTGCCTATTCTAGCTTTATAATTTTATTGGCCTTATACATAGATTATTAGCATTTCCAGTCAATACACTTTTACAGAACCAATTACCATTTCAACACACACATTTTCATTTTTTGTGTTCAACATTTGCAGTTATTTTTCTTAATCGGCTCTGATTACTAATGAGTTTATTAATTTGGAGTATTCATATTCCCTCTATACACCTGAAGGAAAGCAATCAATCATACTGGCAAGGTAAGGATTGTATAGACTGGGCTATCTTCCTCTGACTAGAAATACACTTTATATAGTGCCAAAAAAAAAAGACAATCCTCCAGAACACAGCATACTTTCAAAGATACTGTGAGATTCAAATCATTGTTTTGTGGGACTTGTTGAAAATCAATACGTGCATCAACACCACCAAGAAGAACAGTACATGTTATCTCAGCCGTCCATCGCTGCAGCTTGGAGATAATCTCAGACTGCCTGTTCCCGTTGTACTCATTGCCAGATATTATCTAAAGCTGGAAAAAGTTTTCAGTCATAGATAAAAGATTAATGGTTATGCTACCACGGAACAGAGTGTACAAACATTGTACCTACTATCCCATGCACTCTGCAGACTACATGGCTTTTGTTAATATGCTACAGAGTATACTGGTAATATCATCTATCATCTCTGTACTTTAGTGCCTAGGTAGGCACTCTGCCGAAGTTTAATGTGGCCTCTGTAAGTTAGAGACAAACCTGTTACCTCATACTTTTCCTTGAAGCCAGACAAACACAACTGATACTAGTCTGGAAGCGGCCACGGCCCACAGATTTCTTGCTGTGATATTTTCAGAATATGGGACTGGGGGATAAGCCTCCCTACTGTCCATCCCAGTGACTCAAAGAGGTCAAATACCTCTTCTAAATCTACGATTTTATACAGAAATAAAGCTGTGAGTCTGTAACCCAACCACTGTTCTGCTGCAAGTTATTCTACAGTGGCCCTGTAGCAGGTGTGGGATTATGAACATGCGTATGTGTTGTTTTTTATGCTAACCAGAAGAATCTAGTAAGCTCTGAAGAAACACACAAATGTGTAACAATGCGTAAGGCAGTAGTAGCAAGGCAAAATGGAAGTGTGTGCTTTAAGATTATTCAAATACTGTGTAAACACTAATTTTTTAGGCTCTGTCTGTACCCTATCAGCTTGGGTAGGCCACCACTTGGGCATCACTTTATTCAAAGTGGAGGAACAGTGACATTGCGTGGGATTCGTCTCACCTGACTTGAGCAACCTCAAAGATATGCAACTGATAGTCAGGCTTTATGTAGTTAGCTTAGAATGACAGACACTTCAAGAGTTGTCTGGGAAAATTGGCTAACAGAAATCTTGACCATGAGGGCAGTTTCATGGGAGTAGTGAAGTGTCTAAAAAGATTAACCAGTAGTAATATTTTTGCATGTGGTATCACTTGTGCTACCAATAGTGCTTTTATGTATTATATTTTCATAAAAACAACTCAGTCATTTATATGTAACAAATATCTTAACCCAACAGCTCTGTAACAAACATGATAGCTCTATCAATCAGGTTTTTTACAATTAGACCAACTCTATAGCTAGCAGATGTTAAAAGAGTCAACAGCATTTTTTTATTTATTGTTGAGTTATAAGCTGGAAGTAGAAAGAAGTTTTCCTCTGTTGCAGTGCCTGCTCAGCACATACCAGACATTGGATTCTTTGCCATTGTTTGGATAGACCTGCGTAGTACTTAGTTTTGCAGATGAGGGAAGAGCTGATGTAGCACATCTGATTTATTTACATCCTCAGGAAAACATTCTAGAAGAAAATTTTTCAAAAACAAAAAGAGCATCTGATATAATATCAATGGAGACCCTAGAAAACTTCAATTCCAGTGTCCTAATAAGTGAAGAGTTATCACTATCATCAGAATGCCTCAATCAGCAGAACTGGAATCTGTATAATAAAGTCATATTGTACTGTGGGGATAAGAACTGATTTTTAAAATACAGCTGTCAAGCTTGCTGAGAAGCAGGACAGAAATATACAGAAGGGTAGGAGGAAAAGAAGCAGCTGGACAAAGAGTTCAGGTTTGTTTTATTTATCACTGTCTAAATGACATCATTTCAAGACAGGAAAATAGGACCAGCAGAAATACGGAGCTGGCTTTTTTAGGCAGAGTCAGGAAATTTGCATTTGTGGCAGCAAGAGAAGGGCTCTCCCAGGCCCAGCCCTCCCTACACTACTCAGGGTGCTCCAGCAGGTCCCTGGGGCTCCTGCCTACTGAGGGTGCTGCTCCTTGGCTGCTGTAAGTGCAGGTGCGTCACCCTGCTGAGGCACAGTGCTGGGTGGGAAGGAGCACATGATGGACTGGGTATGCAGAAGGGGAGACCACGGTTGGGAAGGTGCTTGAATTAGGGGATGCCTGAGCAAGTGGTCTCCCCGCCTGCCAGCAGCCAGGGTGGTTGAAGGAGCCACAGCTGCTGCTCCGACCCAGAAGGTCTCTCTCCCTCTCTGGTTTGTGAAAGGCCATGATTTCTCATCTGCAATGACTGCTCTTGTCAGCTTGGCCACCTACTTAGCTGAATGCTTTGTGCATTTTGCCAACTGTGAGTAGGGTACACCCGTGTCCCTCAAATCCCATCCCTTGTGGTCATAGGCATTACAGTTGGTAAATCCAAAAGGGTCTGCAAGAGCTATTCAATCTGTTCCCCCTTCTCCTGCATGGAGCATTTATCCTTATTTCTCTAAAGATGTTTTGTAAGAAAGACAAAGCAATTCAGAGACCGCAGTATGGCATAAGAAGAGAGCTCCAGAGAATATAAATACCGCAGTGCTTCTGCCCCCTCCGCTGCCATGATCCGCACTCCAGAGCAGGGGGACCTCACTCCCTCCAGTCCATGTCAGAGCTGGAAGGCAAGGCTGTACTTCCATGTTCCTCAGTTGTGAGAGGTAACAACACATTAATCATCGACTGAGGGAATTGCTTATGGATACACATCAATCTGTTTCCAAATTGCACTTCTAGAAACTTTGCTCTTGGAGCCACATGAAGAGTTATGAGTAACTGGATTACAAAATGGAACCAAAGACAGAAACCCAACGAAGTGGAGAACTGAGTGGAGTTTTGCTAAATGCAGTTGGGCCAGGCTTGCTCCCTGACGGGGTGACTACTGCTCTTAACCACTGCTCTGTGCCAAAGCGGAAAGGGAGTGAAAGTGAAATGAAAAGGTATGGTTGCCACAGTGCAACTTGCACAGTGCTGTGTGACTGCGCCAAATTAATCCTGACCAAACACACTGTGCAGGGAGAGTGAGGTGGGTAATATAACACTCCCCTGCCACAAACGCAACAGCCTGTGCATGGCACAGGGCAATGCTCTGCTCCTCCTGCTGCCCGCAGTAAATCTGCCTTGCTAGAAGGCCATTACATCCACAATATATTTCCCTTTTTTTTATTAGCAAGAATATTACCAGCATGAATTACATACTACATTCCTATCAAATTCAATTCCTAGCAATTTCAGCATGAACTGGAACCATTTCAAAGGGATTACACCAAAAATTAACCTGGATAAAATATGAATATAAAATACAATTCAAGAGAAACTGTGCATGTTGCCTGAATAGAGGAGTATAAAACTTAGCCCTCCTCAGAGCTTCACAGTCAGGAGTGGATGAGACAATGAATTTCCTGCTGTCACTGGAGTTAAAGCAGTAGGTCGCGGTATGTTTTCCAGACAAATTGATTTGTTTTTATGCATTATCACATTGTGCATGATGGTCATTGTGAGAAAGAGATTGCTACAAGAGGCAGGAGTTGTTTATTGAAAAGGACAAAGTTGTGACAGCTTGTAGAAAGGGGTTTCTGTTTGTCTGTTAGCTTTAAGATCCTCATTTCCTTTCACAGGGTAGAGCTTCCTCAGGTGAGGAAAGAAGTGTGGGAAGCCCTAGCTAACTGAACAGACTAGATTACCACAGTGGTCTCAGAACACAGATTGCTATCTGCGTAAGTTCAGTGGAATAAGTGGGACTACATCAGGTAGTTAGTTGTGAAGCCGTCAGACACAAAATGAATGGAGCACTGGCTGTGTTCTCCATCATTTTGCTTCTGAGCCCTTTTCTCCAGAATATGATTTCACTTTATTTACTTTCTAATATACTCTAGCAATTTCTTCTTGGCATTGATGCTGAATGTTGTTGGGGGTTCAGATATAGAGAGCTGGTATACAGCACCCACAGGTGCAGATGGGAGGATCTGATCCTATGTTGCCAGATAATGTTTCACTTTTCCAGTTAAGAATGACCTAAGTATCAAAGCACAAAAACAAAGCTGAATGACATCATATTCCAGGACTCAAAGCTGTCCATGGCCTCAAACTGAAGTAACTTAGCCATCAGTGAGATGATACACAGTGGTTCTTCAGATCTCAATGCAGCCCAAAGCAGCACATGCTCATTTCAAAAGTCCGTGGGGTTACTTGCATGCCTAAAATACATGCTGAGGTGGTTTGACATCATGGAGACTTTATGGGAAGGAAATCCGACAGGCACTGCAGTTATCATCTTATGAAATCATTGGGTTTTAGGATTAATTTTCTGTTTCTCAGCAGAAAATGTAGCTGTATTTTGTTTAACAGGCATAAATTACCAAAGGAAATAATTATTTGTGACACAAAACCTGACAGATTTCTCAGGACAGCTGAACCTGTGCTTTTGGCCTAAGTGTCAGCCACTTCCATTAGCAGTTGAAAGACTTTTAGTCACCCCCACAATTTCTTGTCTCCCTCCTACTTTATTAAGTCCCAGTGTGACAATCAGCCACCTGTAAAGCAAAGGCTGGCTACCTGCTGGTTTGATGCCGCAGCTGTAATACGTGCTGGGGAACTCAACAGCTGCTCTAGGAAAGCAGCTCTGGCTCAACCAGGAGATGCTGAGCTGCTGCCAAGCCAGAGAAAGTACTGACTGACCAGGGTGCAGGCAAAGAGGCTGACAGAGGTGCTGACAAGGAGAAAAGAGATATGCCAGGGGAAAATACTGAGTCCAGAAGACCACAGGTATTGTTCCTAAACAGGACAGCAGAGAGAACAGCAGGGAACTAATTACTGGAGGAGGCTTTTCCTCCTGTGGCTGTGTACAGAGAACAGGAATACTAAAAAATTCCCAAATCTGCAAGTTTTAAAGCGTGGCAGAAAGAGTAATGGCAGTACGCACACACTGTGGGCCAGACTCTACAGCACACATCTGTACATTAGGTGTGATTTGCAATCAGTTGTATGAGCCACAGACCTTGGCGCTAATAAGCATTAATATGTGGAGTGAGGTGCTTCTCCATGGATGGCTTCAAGTGTTACTTTGAAGAGTGCTGTTGTAGCAGAGCAATTAGTTTAGAACAAGTCACTAGAGACAAGTGGACAAGTGGAAAAGCTGGGAATAGGTGGCTTGGGAGCATGCAGGAGAGTGGCTCTGTAATCACCCCCATGCACTGAGGGATGAGGACCCTGAGTCATGGGGAGAATTCTGTGATCCCAGGGCTGCCCAACACCCATTTTTGCAGGTATTAGTTGAACAGTGCCTGGAGCACACATGGAAGATACAGACCCCATCCAAGAGGCACCTCTAACATGCATGTAGGAAAAGGCTTGTGCAACTTCAGGATCCAGAGCCTCAAGCTCTCTCCTGAACGTGGGCACTTCTGTCTGGGAACTGAAACAAATTTCGCCAGTTCTTTTAAAATGCTCTTCTGGCATCTTTTGTGCAAATAGCCTCATGGTTGAAGCACTTGTCCACAGAGAGGGAGACCTAGGTCAAAGGCACCCCTCCAGTTGAGGGTCTCAGCCCCTCAGCCTGTTTCCCCCCAGGTACTTCACTGATTAGCCATGAGCATGGCCCTGCTGCAAGACTCCTCCTTGAAAACTATGATACTGTACAGAAAAGAGGTCAAGACTAACTTTGTCAGAAAGAAAAAAAAAGGTCACAAAAGACAAGACTTTGTGATTCGGTGCCCGTTGTGTCTCACAGGGATGTAAACTGCTGTGAAGATTTGTGGGGTAGGTCTCAGGCTATTTCCACAAGAGGTGGACAGTCACACTGCCATGTGAGCTCACTTTCCAGGCACGCAAATCCTTCAATCTGTCCTGTCCAATGCCTGCTTCCTCTGGAAAGGGAGAGGTTCCTCCATCCAAGTTAGGATGCAGGTTTGAATCCCCTCAGACTGGAAGTTTCCCACTTGCTGGGTGAGTTCTCTAATTGTGGATAGCTTGATTTATAAAGAAAGGAAATATTGATCAATCTGGCTGCTACTGCAAATGGGATTCAACGAAATGCATACTGGATCTGATCCAGCCTGGAAACTCCTCTGTTTCTAAATAGGCAGCAAGCTCAACAAAACCAATGGTTTTAGCTAATGGTACTGGGTAATTAATTCACAGCTGTATTGAGCCTGCCTGAGATGGAGTTAATTTTCCCCATAGCAGCCCTCATAGTGCTGTGCTTTGTATTGGTGTTGGTAACACACCAGTGTTTTGGCTACTGCTGAGCAGTGCTGCACAGCATCAAGGTTGTCTCTCCAACATTCCCCCCTCACCAGTAGGCTGGGGGTGGGCAAGGTCTTGGGAGGGGACATAGCCAGGACAGCTGACCCAAACTGACCAAAGGGGTATTCCATACCATATGACACCTACTCAGCAATAAAAGCTAAAAGAAAGGTGGTGGGGGGTGGGGGGCGGGGCATTCGTTATTACAATGTTTGTCTTCTGGAGCAACCACTATGCATACTGAAGCCCTGCTTCCTGGGAAGTGGCTGGACATCGCTTGCTGACGGGAAGTAGAGAATAATTTTGTTTTCCTTTGCTTCCACGTGTGGCCTTTGCTTTTGCTTTATTAAACTGCTTTTATCTTGATGCACGAATTTTTTTCCATCTTATTTTCTCCCCCCCCTGTCCTGCTGAGGAGGGGAGTGATAGAATGGCTTGGTGGGTATCTGGTGTCCAGCCAAGGTTAACCCACCAAAACAGCTATGTGATAGTCTGTTTCCTTACTTACCAGTTGGGCACATACATTTTGGTTTAACCTTGTTGGAAATGTTTAGATTTATATACCCTCCCCTCACAAATGTTTAGTTTCATAGTTTTTAACTGCAGTTGAGACACTGTGTCTGTGCTGGATTTAGCACACTGTGGCATCAAGCACCGCCTATGAGAAACACATCCTGAGCGTGGAACACACAACTGTGTCTTTCTTCAAACAATACTCTTTGTGGAGTTTAAAACACATACGTTTCCTCATATCTATTTAGCAATATTTATGTCCTTGATTTTTTCCTTTCATTTGTCCTTTTAAATGTTCTTGAATTACTCCTCCTAGTCTGCATGGCTGCTAGTATTTGTATGAAGAATTCAATAAACAACTGAAACTTGGAGACTGAAAGAACATTATTTATGCTCATCTTCTTCCATAAAAATGATATTTTCCAATAAAAACTGAACAAAGAACATGCTGATACATATTTCATGCACATAAGCATTTTTTCTTCATTATAAAAACTTAGAATGAGGCACTAAAAATGTTTTGACATTATAACTAAGTAATTAATATTTTCATAAACTACGTTCCATAAATCCATGGGTTACATTTACATAAAGATAAAAACATACAAAATATTTTACAAATGAAAATACATAAATTAAGCAACCCAAGAGCTTGATATATTTTCATTTCAGCAAAACTGTCTGAGATTTCACAATGCTGCAAAAATGCCACTGGAAACATGCTTCCACTCAATGGCATGAATGTTTGAAAGACTTCCTTTGAAAGATAAGATGATAAAAAGAAATACTGTACCAGTTGGATCAAAGTCTGGAAAATAATCCGGACAATTCTGAGCAGTGACTCTTCCAGCAGGCGTGTCATCCCAGCACAACCAGCCGTCCCAGGTTCGGTTGCAGAACAGACCTGGACGTTTAAGAGGAATGCAGTAGTTAATTCACACACAGTCAGTCCTGAACCTGCTCTGTTCCAGCCTCCCAAGGAATATTGCTGTCTGCAGACAATTGTGGTTTCTGTTTGCAATAAAACCCCTTGTTATTGCTACACTTTGAGTGGCATTCAGGTGCTGCAAGGTACTTGGTTTTGCTGATCTGATGTTACTGATGTTAATTTTACTGGAAAGTAATGTTTTTTAAGCCTGTTGAACTGAACTTTCAATGTAGGGTCTGATCCTACAAAATCCTCTTCGTGATCCTCCTTCCATCCTTGGCCGTAAATGTGTACTCTAGTGGTAAGGGGGGGCCTCAGTTATCCAAAGACTTTCAGGTCTGAAAATCGAGTCTTTGAAATGTAAAGGTAGGAAGGGCTTGCAGGGACGTCCCAGCTAAAGGCAACGTTTGCAGACACTGGTCCCTGTAAGGCTGTTGCATTGCTCAACACTAGAGATCAGTCAGATAACTACAGATCCAGTGAAGCGAGGTGCAAGACTGGTCTCTAACAGGCAAACTCTGCCTGTTGGTGTTGTCTGGGCAGGCATGATGTGATCCTCTCCTCATCACAGCCCTTCTCGGAAGGTAGCACTGTTGAGGCTGTCACCCCTACAAGGACTGTTCCCAGCCCCAGAAACGATGGCCATACTAGGGAGGCAGAATACAGCTATTTTTCCATTGTCAAGTTAAATGTGTTAATGCTACTTGTTCACTTAATTAACCAACCATCATATCAGCAGTTTGTTATCTTTCCTTCAGGCATTCTTGTGTTCTTCTCTAGCTTTGAGATGTATCTGAAAGACTTTTAGGAATCATTTTATAATATCAAAGAGAAAGAAGAGTAGAAAATGTTTGCAACTTGAGCTTGTATCTGAAAGACACTGCAGAATGGGGTCAGTAGGAATTTCTAGCTTTAAAACCTTTGCCTTGCCTAATAAAGAAAAAAAAAATCACTGATGTTGATCATGAATGGAGTACATCATTGTGGAATGTGTCTTTCAAGGTAAGTAACAGGATATATACGCACGCATACATCCATAAATATATATACACACACATATAGAGATATACACATGCATACATATATGTTTTTTAAGTGCTGCAGGAAATAAAACAGTGTAAGCAATAAAACAGAAAAGGAAGAGTTGAACACCATATTGTTGTATCACTGGCTAAAAATATTACATTTTTGGATGGACAGGGAGTGTGGGAGTGCTGCACTGTCCTGGAGGGAAGGTCAAGTGTTCCCATGTGCCTAAGCTCCTCATTTTGTTACTTCTTTGGGATTTAAGGTAATCACTTCTACCCTGAAATGGGCAAGATAAGTGTGGTCCATTACTTCAGCTCTGCTGACACGTGGCCACTTGTAATGCTGCCACAGCTCACCTGTATTACACCATCTCTCTGGCTTCTGAGTGTGAGATACTACGCAATTCTCTGCAGTCCATTGCTGTCACCTTTGAGCCCCAGGATTATGAAGGATTTAAACTACCTTTGCACCAGTCTACAAATAGGCTACACCAGGGACTGCAGAGACACCAGGGAAAAATTAGACACATCTCGGCTGGCTCTGTAAAGTTGTACTAGACACTGGGCTTTCCTGGGATCTTCAGTGCTAGACTCCACTACTGTTTGGGCTGAAAATGTACACCCAGTATACCCCTTCAGCTTATGTGTCGGGCTTTTCCTCTCAGGAGACACCTCTACGGTTGTCCTTTGCATTAAGAGAATTTCCCATCTCATCCCATCCTCCCTTTCAAATTTGCAGCCAAGAGACTTAGACCCTTGTCTACTTCCAACCCTTTATGAAACATAAATGTTGGAGGGCTGGTGAGGATCCTGTAATTCAGCTGAAAATGCAACTTTAGTAGTGTTGGCATCACTCCTTCATCGCCCATTATCTTCATTCTGGGTTATAAATTAATTAAGGGCATGTTGTTATGACTATGACAGTCCCCAATGGCATCACTTAAATCTAGCTGCCAGTTGAAGGAATGCAGAAACTGCTGTGCTGTGTCCGATGGCTGCAGGTCTGCCACTGCTGTCCTCCTGGGACAATGCTGCCCTTGAAGACACTACCAGCAATTTATACGTCATGAGACATACGAGTTCCCAGCGCATGCTGGGAAAATGCTTCAACCCTTTCCAACTACTCACACAAGCAAGGTGCAAAAAAAAGGTGAATCCAATGGAAGTATCAATGGATGCAAAAATTAAAGATTTATAGAGCTGGAGACTAAAAGACTAATCTGAGCAGTCAGTAAGTTGTTTCCCCCTCAAGCCCAGCAATTAAAGGCTTGTTTATGCCTGAAACACGATGCTTTCCCTGTTTAAATACTTGTGGGTTTTCCCCATTACTGGCCTGAATGAAAACCTCTTTGAAGCAATGGGAATCTCTATATTCATTCCATAACATTTCTGCATCAAAACCCAAGTATCTTAACATCTAATTATTCTTTGAGTCTTGCAAAGCCCAGTAAAATCTTTGTGGTAAAGAGCTGCAAAAATGACTTTGGTCTTGTACTACAAAAAATCCCACATTATCTCCACCCCATCTAATAGATAGGTTGGGGTTTTTAATAATAATTTTTTAATATATTTTCTTTTTAAACTGTGTCCTCAGTATCTCTGTTCTTTACTTGTATAAATCCCCACAATGCCTCCAAATTTCTTGTCTAGCCTCCTCATAATTTCTTCCATATTTTCTATGAGAAAAAGTGACCAGAACACTCAGTGCCAACCAGAAATGCTGCTTCATTTATACTGTGTCATTGTAGCACCACTATTATTTGTAATTTCCCTTTTTATTAATCTTAATATATGCCTCGTATTCAGTAAACATGTGTGCTCAGTGCTTTATAAACCTCTTTTTGCTAGTATTACTGCTGAATATAGAATACCTGGAACATCTGTGTTGGTACAGAGCATGACAGCTATCAGTCAATGCACGAATGACAGAAAAACAAAACAGTAAGCGAAGCAAACAGAACGACATTTATATTTAAGAGATCACCGTTCACAATCAGGCCTTTGTGTGAGCTTGCTGAAAGGTCCCGGAGAATGCCATTCCCTAAGCAAGAACAAGAGATATTCAAGCAGCAAAGCACTGAGCCAGAAATGTAGATGACGGAGGTACCGTCTGCATGGGGAGGAAGGAAGAGCTGTTTATTCCCTGGGCTCGTTCCAGGCTTTTTTCTTTCTTTGCACTTAAGAGGATGCTAAGTAAGTGTGAATTTGACTACTGCTTATGGGAAGGAAACTGCACCCTGAGGAAGACTATGGGTTAGTATACAGAAGAAAATGTTTCTTTATAGCTATATAAGCAAGTGTGGCAATATACAAACAGGTTTTTTTTTTAATCTTTTTTACCTTTTTTCTTATACGGAGGAGCTCTGTTCATCCTCTCATAGCATTTGAACTGCGAATCTATTATCTTCTGTCGTATGACTGAATTTTCAGTTACTACAGGCTCTAATGTAGGATCAGTATAATTTACAGTAGAAGAAAGACTTGGAACCATTCTCTGTACAGAAAGGAAAAACTGTTAGTACAAGTGAATAAACCAGAAGGATAAAATAAAAAAAAAAGTGAGAATCAGAAATCTCTGTTATGCTTTCTTCAAAGGCCTGTTATTTGCACATATGTTTAGCATTATGATGGGCCTTATACTGCTTGCAAAGTAAATGCTGAATTTTTACTACTTTACCTCACTATAAACTCAGGATTTTAACCAAGCCCTTTTTCTTGGCAAAAGAGAGGACCATTAAATACTTGATAAAGTCTTCAAAATCTTGTCATTTAGTTTAGTGATCTGCAACAAAATTTTGTATCTTCCCAAAGTTACACCCATGTATTTCTGCTCACTTGTGCCGATTTCTCTCCAGACTGCCCAGACAAAATACCTCAGTGCCACAGCCTCAAAACTGACTATTTCATGGTTTATGCCACTTGCTTTGAGTTCCTTCAATTGTTAAGGTCATAGAAACACAGGACAGAGAGTTTAAACCTCACTACTGCCTGAAGGGCGAAGGGAAGGATCATTGCATCTGGAAGGCAAAAATCTCAGGTAGAGAGGGTCAGCTATCGTTTTTTCCATCCATTCATGCATCCATCTGTCTGTTGCACAGCCCACGTCTGTGAGCCAGGGTGGAAATGAGAGTGTGGAGCTTTAGTTAATTCTGTTCTGCCTTAATCCTGTATCAGGACACTCCTCTGCATGAAGGTGATAGGAAAGGATTAGTTCCTCTGCTTCCCCAAGAAAAAGCAATGCTGCTGTGGCACTTTATTTGTATGACCCTCTACTTTTTTTCCCATACTAAACCATACTAAAGCCATCACAAACACATGCAGAGTCACTTACAGGCTGCTTCAAAACTTAGGACCCTCACAAACACACAGACTTGACGTTTTTAGCACCAAATACTAGTACGCAGATGTTTAAGCAACCATTTGTAGTTGTTCAAACTGAAAACATGACAGGTTTGAAAGTTCAAATATCAGCTTACTTCTTAAATTATTGCTTCCCATTTTTTTTTTTTATTGCACATCACAGGCAATTGTATCTCATTAATACACTACTTTCTTTTCCATTTGCACAGCTAAAACACCTTGGTAAAATACACAGCAAAACCACAGTATCCTTGACTTAGTTGAAAAAAAAAGACATTACATTATCCTGATACTTCTGTGCCAAACCATGTCAGTTTAAACTTTTTATACTCATATACCCAATTATTTTTTACTAATTTAATCTAATCTCTTTTGATACTAACATTTTCATTTTGAACTGTATATAGATACCGTGTGAAGACTGGAGGACAGTGAAGGCAGTTTATCTCATTGCACTTAAATAGGTACTTGAAATAAAATGGGAGGAACAAGAAGGAAGCTATTTTCTGGCAGATACAATTTTATATAAATTTTATGGGTATGTATACACACACATATATAGATAAACTTGGACAGTGAAGCCATTTGGAACATTTCATCTGGCCATCCAAGTGAAAAATTAAGCATCTAGAAAGCCAGAACAGGAAATACAGAAGCAAACCCAAACATATCACAAATCCCTCGCTTTTGAGAAGATTAAAGGGAGTAGCTGGAGTCTATGAAGATCATTTTGAAACCAAACAAGCAATGTCCTCAATCCAGCAAGAAACACAGCAAAGTGCAGATAAGGTTCCTTAGATGCCCTCAGGTCTGTCTTAGCCCTTCGTGTCCATGTATCGCCACAGGCTTTGGTACTGCACTGAAGTGACTCGTAGATACTCCATGCTTATTTTTTCCTTTCTTATTTTGAATAATACCTCAGTTCCAAGCTGTTTGCATTCAAGAGAGGAATAACAGTATCGTCAAAGAAAGCTAGGGGGGCTTCCATGGCATCGCCTCTTTTCTCGACGATCCCTCTGTTACTCTGGGCCAGTCTAGGAACATACTCATGGTCTGAAAGCATAACCATCTGATTATGCTTGGAAAACATCACCAATTTTCCTTCCCACAAAACAATGCTTTTATTTTATTTTTGTTTTCTTCTAGGAAGGAGATGATCTGTTCTTCAGATCTGTTTGACCAAACAAGACCAAAATCATTTCACACTGACAGAGACCAGAAAGACTGGTGTTGCTGGCCATAAATACTGTTACTGTTTCGTTTGCTTTATCTGTACAGAATAAAGCACAACACAGACATGAAACATTTGGCAAATGCCAGGTACACAGATAGAAACTATAGAATCTGTTCAGTGCTTCGGAACATCCTTCTCCTATTCTAACTTTTTTTGTATCCTCTTTTACACACCATTTTTAAAAGGACAGACCATTCCCGGAAGATTGCGCAGTACAGAAACATGTAAGCTGAAATCAAAAGTACGATATGCCATCAGAAAAGGAATGGTCTATTTACATCTTTTAACTGGTGAAGACATAACAGTTTGTAAGTAGGGATGATGATTTTGAGGGGTAAGATACAATTCAGAGACTGAAGACACCTTACTCTTAAAGGTCAGTTTCATAACTCCCTGTGTGTAAGGGACTAATCCAATTCCTGAAGAAGTCAGCTCTTGCTGGGTACAGGTTAATGAGAATATTTTAATATTTGGAGGCAAAGAGTACTTGTGGTGGTGGATAGGATAAATGTCTTGGATTGTGCATAAAATTATTTGAAGTGCTCAACCATGTAACCAGGAGGACTGCCCATTCTACCGCATCTGAGCAAGGCAATCATGGCCCAGCTGAAATTACCAGCAAAATTTCTATTGCCCACATTTGGGCCAGGAATTCACTCAGAGAGATTAAAAATATGGATGAGACTGTGTCACTAAAGCTCAATGGAAATTACTTCATCAGTGGAAAACACTTAATGGCCTGCAGTAAATCTAAAGCAAGTTTGGATAAAGACTGGAATAATATTAGATTACAGATGTCTCTCAAATGATCTGATTTTTTTTTTTCTTATTACCAAACACAAAGACTCAGATTTTCAAAGTTAGTTGCACACAAATCTTTCCAGGTACTTTTGATGTAATTGAATAGCTTGTGTATGAAATCAAATTAAGGGGTTATACATAGGTGCGTTACTGGTATTGTTCATCTGTGATATGTCCTCTAAAGGTACTCTTTCCTTTGATTGCTGTTACTCATTTCTGTTTGCCTAGATTTGAAAAGCTCACCGTGGAAGTTTGAACAATATTTTCTTCTACCTTAAAATCAGATGACCAGTTCAGCAGACTAATGAAAAATAAATTTGACGGCTTGCTGGAGGTTGAGCAGTCACACCTCTGTTTGCAATGCTCGTGTTTTCTACCATGCATAGGAGAATCACACGTCCACCACCACTCTGGGACTCAGAGCCTAAAGCCTGTCCTCCCCGAAGTCAGTTCAGTCGGCTGATGATCCAGCCTTATATTCCTGGGGCTCAGTCAGACAAAAATTTTGGTACAGTTGTGATGTCAGATGTTATTATTTGTTTTAGTCTTCTTGCGCTCCTTACCATAGGGGTCAGGAAAGGACAAATGGAGCAGAAAGAAATCCCTAGGTCATTATTCTGTGATCAGAAGTAGCAGAAGCTTGGGCATGGCTACACGGGGGGGAAAGCTTAGTGTGTATCATGTTAATGGGAGAGGTTGGGAATGTCCTATGAGTCTCTCTGTGTGTCTGTGTGTGCTCTCATGGAACTAATGATTAGGAATCACCTCTGCTGCTACATTTTAATGATTGTATCTAGGTATTTTAGGAATTAAGTTTTAAAACACATGTTTTCACCATAAAAAAGCCAAGATTAAATAATTTCCACCTGGTTACTACCTACGGTATTGAACAAATTTTGAATGTTCAGAGTCCATTACTGCACATTAAAAACCCTTCCCATCCATCCATCAGTTACTTCAGATGGAAATATAAAGGACAATATTGGTTGGTACAATAAAGGAATGCCTCATTCATTTATAAATATTCTTTATTAAAGAGAAATAAATAATTCACAACTTAATAATCAGGATGTGTTCATAGCCTGAAAATGACTGGTATGATTTCTTCAGAAGAAAACTGTTTAAGTGATGTCCCATGCAGCAGTTTAGCAGCCGTACATATGATGTCACTCCTAAAAGTCCAAGTAAATGACGTCATACATACGACCACCAAGCCACCACGTGACAAGTGACTGTTATAAGAAAATGAATTATCATTACAAAGAGAAAAAACAGGCTGCTGGGAATGCTGAAGTTCACTTTATACCTAGAATTAATAAAGGAATCTAGAGAAAGCAATTTGGCTTCATTATTAAGCTATATCGAAATGAACAAATAGTGCCCTGGTTTCTGTAAGACAGACACCTGCTATTAACCTGTGCAAGACTGTGCCCATTTCTGCAACAGAGAATCCAGATAAAGCAAGCATAAAATTCCTTCTTTTTTTTCCCATAAAATATTGGAAATGATGAACAAGCATCCCCAAATATTTTTCTTCCACCATCAAGGAGCTTGAAGCATACTAACTGTTGACTATGCACGACATTTAGGAAAAGAAGGCATTTGTAGCTTTCTTTGCTTTTGTTTTTTCCCTCCTTCCACTAAATTCAGTAATTTTGCAACATTTCTTGTTGAGCTCAGTCAAAATACATTTCAAATTCTGGATGCTCTAACTGTTTGTTATATCGATTTCAATAGCTCAAACATTCGTTTGGTACATTTCTTTTAAAACTGCTATGTGTAGTCACCACTTTGTGGGTCACTAAACTCCTGTCCTTCAATACATCACATCTCTGAGCGAGAGCTCAGCATGATTCAGACCGCTTGCACAGCCCCTCTCATACCTCAATTACATTTGAACTACTTTTCACAGCTGCTAGCATTAGGACAGAGAAGAAAATGACTGTGATGCCTTAGGAAGGTCATTAGTACATGATACTCAGTAAACATAACAATAATTTCTTATCCATCACAAATGTGCTAGGAAACAGCAGAAAATTTCTTTGGGGAAATACCTTGATGTGACATGTTTTACTTAACCACTGAATGTTAAAATGTTCCCATACTCAATTGCTGTTGAAGCAGGATGGAAATTATCTCACAGTGAGATCCCATATGACTTACATCGCAGATTTTGGCAGCTGTTTAAACAAGCACAAGATTATCAGCCACAGCAGATGAAGACAAGGCACTTGTAATGAAAAGCAACTCACGAATCATACACTTCTTTTCCATTGCTGCAGGATTTGCAAGGAAGCTTTACTCCCAGGGTAGCCTGATGCAAACAGTGGGCTTGAAGGCTGCAGAATACCTCATGGATTTTTGCTTGCAGTCTGATTATCATCTTGCAGGAGGCCTCTTTAGGGCAATCAGCTGCATAGTAACATCCTTATTTTTTTAAAAAGCAAAGATGGACACAAAAAGTCCTGATCACCCCTCCTCTCCCTCTTGGGAAACCATGAACAGCTTGAGTCTCAAATTCTCACACTAATTCTCAGCACCTTAAATCATCAGCATCTTGCTTTCCTGAGTTTTCCTTGTGTGAGAAGAGCTCCAGAACTTGCAAGTCCACTTCCTTACAGCTTGAAGCAACCCACAGTTACAAAGGGAAATGCACACTTCAGGACAACAGCTTTCAAAGGCATGGTCTCAGGTGACGAGACCCAGGGGGATCTCATCATCCAAGGCTGGGGAAGCCGCTGGGCTCCCAGTGGTGCCAGACAGCAAGCAAGGCTCTGAAGAACCATGCCAAAGAAGGCTGTGACAGATCTTCAGCAGTTCTTCTGGCCGACCGAGAGGTGGGACCTGCTCTGGACCAGATGCTGGAAGAGCTTCTGTCTAAGCAGGAAAAGGCTTGTGCTTATGGCGCCGGCACAGACATGAGTTTAGAGACTCGTGGTGAGGGCGGCTGAGCTGGGCAGGTGGCAGGAGCCCGGGGGAGCACGTGGCCACACCACCTCACCGGTGCGTATTGCACTCCCAGCTGTGAGGATCAAATGGGTACGCCATGAGCAGTGCCCTCATCATGGTGGCAAACGTTTTACTAACTGGCTTCTGGAGACTTGAACCTGCCACAACTGTGTTCCAAAACATGCCAGTTTGTGCAGTTAATGAATGAAAATTACATTTAGGCTTTCACAGAATTAAATTTCCATGTTTTGTGAATGGGAATTATTCACAAGCCTTTCAGGAGCTGACACAACGTAACAGGCTGTGTATAGGTTAGTGACTGAGGCTTGGTAACAATTGCACAGATATGGACTTAATGAACTTGTACTCAAAATGAATTTTTTTTAAAATACAATCTTGATCTAATGGTCCTAATTGAATAATAGTGTGTTCAGCTGCAACATCCATTTTGTCTTTCCTGAGCACTTTGTGGTTGGCTCAGGACAACAAAATTGGAATATGTGAGAAAAACTACTCCATCAATCTTCATTTACAGGATAAAATCAAACGACTATCTGTAGGCACTAGATGACAATTCTTACCTGACAAAATCAGGTAGAAAACAGAACTCTCTTTTCTCAATGTCCTGCAAAATTGATCAGTCACACAGGAAAGAGACCCAAGCTTGTTTCCTCATTCTCTGCAGTTTGATGCCCCTGGACACACCGTGCCGATGTTCCATCTTTCTTGCAGAGAGAAATGTGCACTGAGGAGATTAACTAATTGCTCCAGCGTACAGGGGCTCACATACTTGAGGAAACAAATCTCAGTCACATCCTGTGGCTCTCAGTAATTACCAAAAATGAGACAGTATCAGGAATAAAGTGAACTAAGAAATAACGAACAGTTAACATTTCTAATGGAATTCACTTTGAATTGTAGAGGACTATCTGGTGATGCTGCAAGCATTGCCATTATTCTACATCCAAAAGCAAGGGAAGCCATCAAAGAGGAAGACAATAAGGAGTTAGTTTTATTTCTAAAATAGGTCTTGAAGAAACTGGTGCTTTAGGTTTTGTTTGGCAAAGGGGAGTTATTATGGACCTGTACACAGAAGAGTAAAGTGCTATTTATTCTATGCAAAAAATTACATATGTAAGAGAGATGGTTTCTATCAGAAGGTACCAAAACCACTTGGTGAGAGGCCTAAAGGCTGGAGACTGGGGGTGGAGGGGGCACGGGGTGTGTGTCTATGGATATCTTGTAACTAGGGTCTAGGACAGAACATTCAAGGAGAGATATGGGATGAATCTGGCACCTACAGTGGGAGCCTGGAAGAGAAAGCAAGGACCTCAATAGGTTGTGTTGCTTTGCATCAGCTTGCAGTCCTCAGCTGGGAGTGCAGGGGACAGACGACAGGATGACAGTAAACCATCAAAGCCATCAAAGAAGAAAGATCTGGAGGATGGTTTGTGGTGTGGGTAGAGAACAGGAGTGGGAAATCACCCCTGTGTCACAAATCGCTTTGATTACTGTATCTTCCCCAACCTCAGACAGTGGCTGACATGTAAGTCCCAGGGACTCAGCTCTGGGAACCGAGGCATGATTAAAAGAACCAACAGAATGGGAACAGTCTTTTTGGAAGAGAAAGAAAGACACACTTCCTTGCTACAGACCACAAATAAAATGTAAAAAATGAATGTTTTCAACCAGCTACAGGTGGGGAAATTTTTGGAAAGATGACTGATGCCAAATATTTTTCATATGTGATCTAACAGCAGTGTTCTGGCAAGTGACATCAGGGAAACAGAGCTTGTTCATGGTCTACTTCTATAACCATGGCTTCTCCCTCACTGGCGGATAAATTAACGTGGGAGGTGTCTAAGTAAATCGCAGTATGGCCACTGCAGTGGGGAAGGAAGGAATACAGACATTGAAACAGTGAAAATGTAAGGAAATTTGTGCTTAAGTTATGCATTGAGATCAAAAGTTGGAGAGCCCTCTGGTGCAAAGATATCTAAAAGGAAGGGGATGCAGATCTCACTGGCCCTGGAGTACTGCAGGAATGAGCACAGAACTAATGTTGCTACCATGGGTAGGAGATTTAAAAGATTTGTGGATAACAGGGCAAGGATCACCTCAGTCTTTCACGGGCCGACCTAGAAACTTATGCTGTAGGTCAGAGCACCTCAAACACTCAGAAATGCTGTTGACCATTTTAGCTATCAGAATATTTACAGTCCTGTCATTTGACTGGGGAAGAAAAATGATCTGGAACTGCTCCTTCAGTCAGCGTTGGCTTATTATAGGGAGAATTGCTGTTCTTTGCAAAGGCCCCTGTTAGGCTATGCAGATCAGCTGGGATTCAAGCCCAGAAGGAAGCTGGTCCCTGTCAGGCCGATTGGTTAGAGAGATCTCTGATCATGGGTGATGTCCCAGCCAGTGTATTGCTACATGCATCCCTTGCAGGGCTATGTGTAACAGCCACAAAAGGTCACAAATATCAGAATACTCCAATACACCTCAAGGCAGAAGACTTTTGCCAAGCACAGGGATGATTCCTCAAATTATTAACTAATTCTGGACTAATTACTTTTGAGACCAAGTTAGCAGAAATGTGTTAGCTCTGCCCTCCTCTGTTATTCCTCCTGCTCTCCAGCTCTTCTTTGGTTGAGGGTCCTAATCTTGAACTATGAATTCAGTATTTTACCAAAGTGAGGTGTTCTTTGCTGTTTTCCTGCATTCTCCATGATCTGATTTCATTGTTTTCTTTTTCTCTCCTTCTATCCATCATTCTCTTACTGTTCTCTACTTTCTTTCCCTCCTTTTTATGCATATTAATTTAAGTGGCAAACAGCACTGTGGGCAAGTTATGCTAGGCGGGAAGAAGAGGAGGGACATAACCCAACAGACAAACCAGGGAAAGCAGTCTCTACTGTTTCCCAGTGTGTCTTCTAGCCCTGTTTCTACAACTTATATCCAGAAAGGATGGGAGCTAATGGGGAGATGCACACAAATATTCCACATTCAGGTGTTGGAAGAGAAGCTGAGAAGCAGAGAAGCATGAGTAGCTAACCAAAAAAACACAATTAAGAAGTATAAGAATGAAAGTTTTCTTCAGGAACACAGAGATAAATGGTTGAGGAATAAGGTGGCATCTGGCATGCAAGTTACTCATACCGCACCACAGTAGAGAGGTGCTTGTTCCCAGTAGCATCATTCAGACAAATTCTGACCATTCTGTAACTGAGGCTCTGGGCAGTATTCTCATTTCTGACTACCTGTAATGTCTTCAATTTTATGATAACTGCTAATAATTTGAGGTTTCACAAGTAGAGATCAGAGAATGCATTCAATTTACGAGAGGTATTTAGTCAGGTAGAAATAAATTTGCTACATATTTAGAATAGCAGTTACTCAGACATGTTGCATACATTGAAATAATGGTAATATTGATATTAAACAGTTGAAAATAGCATTTGAACTGAATGACTAAAATTTGTACTGTTATTTTCCATTTCAGTTGCTTTCCTAATAGCAGAGTAACCATACACAGTGAAAATCCACAATTACTTAAGTCAGTCTAAGTCTCACACAACAATGTTAAGCAAGTTTTCAAACACATAAGTTTCCATCATTGATATGTTGTAGCCTGTAAAACACAGAAATGAAAAATCATATGCATTACCTTCTTCAGACTTGCAGTTTTCTCTCACCAAGAAACAATGGTTTCAAGTTCAAAATTTTGTGAGATATCTTATTTAGAAACTTTATTAACCTTATTTCAAAATTTATCAGTAAGGGAACACATTTCTTCACCTGTGCAGTATAACAAATATAACTCAGTACTCCTTATTTTTCTGAACATCACCACAAGTTTAAATTTGGCAGGTGTCATGAGCAGTTCATATTTCTTGTACTTACAATTAGAAGGATGATCAGTAAGAAGAAACTGTGGGTTACTTTTTTCATTGTGGAGTCTTCCTGGAGAGACACGTTGTAGCTGACCCTTCTGGGAATTAAACAACAAAAAAACAGTATTAGACTTTATTTGTTAAGATAAATTCCTTGTCTTGGTGTATGAGCATCTTTTTAGACTTAAAGTGGACTCTGTGTGTGTGTGTGTGTGTGCGTGTGTGTGTGTGTGCATACCCCCTAGCCTTGTGTGTGCTCATGTTTGACTTCACTGGAGGCCCGCATGCTTTGAATTTGGTCTCCTCCGTGGATCTCTGGTGGTGAGTTCAGCTGACATGGGGTACAGCTCCATGTTAGTATGTCACCCGCAGCAGATCTGGGTTAAGCTCTGTGTCTTTGCTAGCTGAGGCTATCTTGGTTGTCCCGATTCAGCTGCTTCTAACCTACACATATGGATGCAGACCTATGAAGAATGTGGATATTTCAAAAATCACCTAAAAGCCCCAGAAAGATCTGGTTTGCAGGTAAGTGTAATGGCAGCTCAAAAGGCATATTTATGGGGCTAGAGAAAGCCAGAGGTTGGGTAACGCCTAGCTAGGTGAACAAGCAAGTGTGGCAGGAAAAGAGAGAGAAACTGGGAACAACACTGTGGGACTACACGCTCCCTAAAGCAGCTCGCTCGGCTGGGCTGTGGACAGACACACGGCAGTGTAACCCTCAGGCTGTCAAGAATGACTGCTTCAGCCGCACAAAGTACTGGAGAGGCAGAGCATGGACACAACTCCACAGGCTTGGAGGGAACTGGATCAGCAGCTTTTTGGTTTTCTTTTTTTTCCTAAATCAACACCCATCTGGCCTTTCTGGGAAAAATATCCAGGGGTCACCATGTATCATCATATTGCTTCACACTTGTGGGAGTTCAAGCAAGCAAAGCTCTTTGCATTAACACATCATTTTTAGTTTTATAAAAATAGAACTTCTGCGTTAGAGTGAGAAACATGGCTTTTGTCAAGACACAGTACCTTCTGCTGTCTCATGGATCGCTAGGGGCATGGGCTGAGTAACATGCCTATAGATCACCTTCAGCCACAGTAAGACAGTGAGCACTCACACACCTTTATTGTTCAGACAGCTTAAAAACAAAGAGTGAGGTGTTTTCTACCTGGACAAACAATCTTGTGAGCACCCTACATATCTGAAACCCAGAAATTTAATGTGAAAAAGGCACACAGACTTGGATGCTTAGTCTACTTGACATGTAGTGAGCAACACAATCACTTGTGTAACATTTATTTCTGCAACAGCACTGTACCAGCTTTTCTCATCTTGAAATGGTATGGAAGGTCACCCCATTTTCAGAGGGAAGGAAAACACGAAATCAGTTGTAACTGTCCTCATCTAAAGCAGAAATATGTACTCTCAAAATGTAATAACGGTGTGGCACTTCCACTTCAATGTAGCACATGTGGAGGTAATCTCCTACCAGATCCCAATGGGAGCGTTGCAGTCATGTGTCACTGAGATTACATAAAATACAAAGTGATGGAAAAGAGGGTTCAGAGGATTTGCCTCTAATAAGAAGTAGCCTTATTACTGTCTGAGCCTTGCCAGAACCATTCTGGTGTGCCAGAGGTAATGGGACAGGCAAATGACACAGAAATAATATGCAATTACGCTGTCTGCCACATCTTTGTGTTTGATCAGCAATCGTAGACAACTCAATGGAAGCAAAAATTGGACACCTAGATCAGAAGAAAGTGCCTGGAATTGTCTGCGTCTTCTCCAGGCTATCCACTGCAGCGTGTATTGGGTCAAAACAGCCAAAAAGATTCATGTGCCTATAAACAAGGGGTCTTGGTCAGCTGTGCAATGAGCAGACATACAAGCATGAACATGGTGTTCATACTGTTACACACTGTACTGTAAAGCGTTCTGTAGTGTGGTGTAAAGCCAGTCTGGTAGGTGCCTCTATTTTTGCTAGCCTCATTACTTCTGCCGCATCTATAGAGATACGGTAAAAAGCAGGCAAAGGAAGGACTTTGCCTTATAAACTGTCGACAGTTTTAAAATACACATCACTTTCCACAAATGGCACAGACATCAACACAATATTGTGACCTAGAACACACAAGCAAAATCAATAGCAACTGAAGTTACCTGCGATACATCTACTTTTCCTGTACTTTGTGCTGGGAGCACTTGCAGCACTATGTTGGGTTGTAGCTGTAGCTGCAGGTAAATCTTATCCTCGTGAGATTTTGTGAACATTTGTTATTATGTACTGAATGAGCTATTTAAAATGTTTCTTGCTCCTGTCTGTCTTAATTAAAAAAAAAGCCATCTGTAAAATATTTAACACATTATTTTCCCCTCTGTTAACTGTGATGATTGTGCCATATGATACTACATACGAGTAAATGAGTAAGAATTATTTCCCACGTGAAATCTTACATAGTCTTGATATCTTCTAGCCAGCTCTAACCACAGGAAGGGCTGACATGCTACATAAAATCCAGTACCTCTTTTTTATTCCTCCTTCACAGGAGCCTTTTCCAGTGACAACAATTTCAACAATTGTTGAATGACAATATTTTAACAATCCTCGTATAAAGCCCCTGTCTAAGAAGTGGCTTTTCTCTACTTTGACCATAAGAATGGCCAATAGTGCTACAGCACACTTGGGTTACCATCAGTATTAGATCAAGGATCATCACTGCACTGAAATGAAAAGGTACATGCAGGTAAAAAGTGTTGGTGAATGGGCAGGGCAGAAACAACGGGGAGGCAGAAGGATTCACAGAAAGAGGAACCCTGAGAGATGGACCCTGTCAGCCTCTGGGCAGAGGAACAGACCACCATTTCCATGGCTCTGCCCCCATCTCCAGCAATCCAGGTTCAGGTGTGACCTGACAGGCAAGCTGGGATGTGCAAAGCAGCACACTCAAGTGCCCTGGAGTTTGCGTCTCTTGTGCTAGAGCTATCATTTTTTTTACACCAACTGGCACTACCACCCATGGACAGCCTGCTCGCAGCTGATAGCCCAGAGCAGCCTCATGGAGAGTGTAGGTGCTGTCCTGATTCCTGTCTCTATACTATTTATCCTTTTTCCATAAGTCCAGCAGTGTCCTTTCTCGATGTTAAGATTATATAATGTGCTTCACACAGTTAAGTTTTAGAACATCCTTCTTTAGTGATTAATCATAAGCACATTGCTAAAGCCCACTACTTTTCCATGATTGTATTAATTCTTCACCCTCTCTTGCTTATAATAGTTACATATGAAATCCCTGTCTATTTTTTAAACTAGAATATTGTTCTTCCTTTCTTCATAAATGTAGCATAACTCATTATGTGCTAAGATACTCCTCCTGCTTCAGCTATTATAGTAATACCATTGACACCTTGGGATTAGTCCTGAAGCTCATCTGAGGATGAGCACAGCATCCTACTCAGTAATAACATCTCTTTTGGCTCTGCCCTGATTTCTACAGCTGCAGTACTAAGCTGAACAGGCTTCAATTACAATTACCATCAGGTGACCCAGAAGGTGGGACACTCCTCCCTGCACAGCCATTTGCACAAAGCCAATAAGGGGGGGTCAAATTTATTCAGAAAGGACGGTGTAAGGGGACAGATTCAAAAGAGGGCAGTAGAGCAACATTTCTTTGCTGAGGTCTGAAGAAGTGATAAAAAAGGCCTTTTTGGAGGAAGAACTGGAAAAAACTTGTCATTTAATTATTCTGCTCTGCTAATTCTGCAATGCCATCTTTCACAATAGTGCTGTGTGCTGGTTTTGGCTGGGATAGAGTTAATTTTCTTCATAGTAGCTAGTATGGGGCTATCTTTTGGATTTGTGCTGAAAACAGTATTGATAACACAGGGATGTTTTCATTACTACCAAGCAGTGCTTACACAGAGTCAAGGCCTTTTCTGCTTCTCACCTCACCCAACCAGCGAGGAGGCTGGGGGTGCACAAGAAGCTGGGAGGGGGCAGAGCTAGGACAGCTGACCCAGACTGGCCAAAGGGCTATTCTGTACCGTATGACATCATGCTCAGTATATAAGCTGGGGGAAGAAGAAGGAAGGGGGGGATGTTCAGAGTGATGGCGTTTTGTCTTCCCAAGTAATTGTTACATGTGATGGAGCCCCACTTTCCTGGAGATGGCTGAACACCTGCCTGCCGATGGGAAGCAGTGAATGAATTCCTTGTTTTGCTTTGCTTGCGTGCACAGCTTTTGCTTTACCTATTAAACTGTCTTTATCTCAACCCATGAGTTTTCTCACTTTTACCCTTCTGATTCTTTCCCTCATCCCACCGGGGGGGAGTGAGCAAGCAGCTCTGTGGTGTTTAGCTGCCTGCCGGGTTAAACTATGACATGCTGACACATCTTTGGAGGAAGAAATGGTTTTAACAGCCCAAAACAGGACTTGTGGAGGTTGTGGCTAAGTACAGAAGTGTGACACAAAAATACCTTTCTCAGTCATTGTCTTACTCCAAGAAACTTTGAAAATTCACTTGCTATCTCCTCATTTGGCTGCAAATTCCTTAGAGAGCTTTCTTTCCACCCCATGCAGCTTTCTCAGGGTGAAAAGCCATGTACCCATCTCCAACCCCAAGGTCTCTAGGATTTTTTAACTAGCAGAGAGGCTTGCAGACCCTTCTAGGGAGCACCTTGCCACTCAGCACAGAAGGGCACCAACCCACTCTGCCTGCGTTAACACTGGAGGGGGAAACACAGGGCAGAGGCACCGGGGCAAGACATGGGCAAGACAGCTGCTGAACATTTAGGGAATCTGGATCCAAGGAGTAGGCTGAAGATCTGCTTGCATTGCCAAATGCACAGATAGTCTGGGGGAAAGTATTAAAATTGTCTCCTCGTTCACAGCTGGACATTTTACCCCGGGTTCCTAATTTAGGCTACTGCTTTGGGCCAGGAGTGAGCTGTATGCCACACTTCTTTAATCCCAGGTCCTGCACAGACTAGCATTTCCCAAGCATATGCTCTAGCCATTAGCCTGGAATGGCCTGCAAACGGTTTAACTGGCACCAGGATCTT